CACCGCGGCAAGCGCCGCGACGGCGGCAAAAAGAAGAAGAAGCGGTCCCGCTCGCGGGCGGAGAAGCGCTCCGGGGACGCGGAGAAGCCGCCCGCGCCCGGGCCTCCCTCGGGCTCTGACCGGGACAGTCGGCGCCGCGGGGCCGTGCCGCCCTCCATCCAGGATCTCACGGACCACGACCTGTTCGCCATCAAACGGACCATCACGGTGGGTCGCCCGGACAAGGCGGAGCCCCGCGCGCCGTCGCCAGCGCCTGCCTTGTCCCCGAAGCGGGAGGTGCTGTACGACTCCGAGGGCCTGAGTGCCGATGAGCGGGGAGTCAAGGGCGACAAGGACCGGCGGCGCGCGGGGGCTGCGTCCTCGTCCTCGTCCTCAAGGGAGAAAGGGTCTCGACGGAAGGCCCTGGATGGGGGGGACCGGGGCCGAGACAGGGACAGGTCGTCCAAGAAGACGCGGCCGCCTAAGGACTCGGCGTCTGGCTCGGGGCCGCTGCCCAAAGCCCCACTAAGCAGTGGGTCCTCGTCCTCGTCGTCGTCCTGCTCCTCGCGCAAGGTGAAACTGCAGTCCAAGGTGGCGGTGCTCATTCGAGAGGGCGTCAGCAGCACCACCCCTGCCAAGGATTCCTCGTCTTCGGGCCTGGGCTCCATCGGGGTCAAGTTCAGCCGCGACCGCGAGAGCCGCTCGCCGTTCCTCAAGCCGGATGAGCGGGCTCCTGCAGAAGTGGCCAAGGTGGCCCCGGGTAGCACCAAGCCCAAAAAGACGAAGACCAAGGCCAAGGCCGGGGCCAAGAAAGCCAAGGGGACCAAGGGAAAGACCAAGCCGTCGAAGACCAGGAAGAAGGTCCGCAGCGGAGGGAGCAGCACGGCCAGCGGTGGGCCTGGTTCACTGAAGAAGTCCAAGGCCGACAGCTGCAGCCAGGCAGCCAGCGCCAAGGGGACGGAGGAAACATGGTCTGGGGAGGAACGGACCAGCAAGGCCCCCAGCACCCCACCGCCCAAGGCAGCCCCGCCTCCACCCGCACTCACCCCGGACTCCCAGACTGTGGATAGCAGCTGCAAGACCCCTGAAGTCTCCTTCCTGCCAGAGGAAGCCAGTGAGGACACTGGGGTCCGAGTAGGGGCAGAGGAGGAAGAGGAGGAGGAGGAGGAAGAGGAGGAGGAGGAGGAGCAGCAGCCTGCCACCACCACAGCCACCAGCACCGCCGCACCTGCCCCAAGCACCGCCCCCAGTGCGGGGTCTACAGCGGGAGACTCCGGCGCAGAGGACGGGCCAGCTGCTAGGGTCTCCCAGCTGCCAACACTACCCCCATCCATGCCCTGGAACCTGCCTGCTGGTGTGGACTGCACTACCAGTGGTGTTCTGGCCTGTGAGTCCTCAGGAGTGGGGAGAGGGAGAGGGAGAGGTTGATGGCGTGAAAGGGATGAGGTAAGAGTTGGGTGGACGGAGCAGGGCAGGGCCTAGTCCAAGCTTCGGCATACGGGGAACAGTTGAAACAGAGCAATGCATAGTGACCAGCGCAGATCGGTCCTGTAGAACTGGGTAGAGCAGAGGACCAGAGTGGAGAACTTGAGCAGGGTCCTGTTTCCCTGATGGGCGGTAGAAGGCTGGGACTTGGGGTGATCAGGAGCATCTCCATGTCACATCTTCGCCCTCCTTGCCCCTGCTCTACATACCCCTTGGGTTGTAAGAACATTGCGGGGGAAGGGTGATGATTAGTGGGTGAGGTCCCCTTTCCTGGTTGGAGCTGAGGTTTTATAGCCCATCCTGGGATCAAGTGAGGGACCTAGCAGTATCAGGGTTAGGCAAGGTTTGCTACCCATCCTGATCCCTGCCTTGACTGCCACCCCTCTGTCCACTGCAGTGACTGCACTGCTGTTCAAGATGGAGGAAGCCAACCTGGCCAGCCGAGCAAAGGCCCAGGAGCTGATCCAGGCCACCAACCAGGTGGGCTCCCATGGGGAAGAGTCCCCGCAGCCCCTTCTTTTGTCCATTGCCTCGGGGTAGGAGAGGAACTACAACTCCCAGCAGGCCTTAGGGCAAGGTATTGGCCAGAAGAGGAGCCTATTGCTCTTATACTATTGGGAAATTTGAGGGAACAGAGGGGGCACAAAGCCCCCTCTTCCCTTCCACTTTCCTTGGCTCATCATACTCTCTTCTCACAGATCCTCAGCCACCGGAAGCCACCCTCCACTCTGGGGGTGACCCCAGCTCCCGTACCCACTTCCTTGGGTCTGCCCCCAGGCCCCTCCAGCTATCTGCTTCCTGGCAGCCTCCCCATAGGGGGCTGTGGCTCTACCCCTCCTACCCCCACTGGGCTGGTCCCTGCATCTGACAAGAGAGAGGGCAGCAGCAGCTCAGAGGGACGTGGGGATACCGACAAGGTGAGATGGACTTGGAGGGTCAAACGACTACATGAATGGGGCCAAGTGCTAGGTGCTGGGAAGGCGCAACAGAAGACCAGATGCCGCTCAGCTATTGAGTGCTTTCCTGGCGTGCATGGAGCCCTGGGTTCTACCCTCAGTTAAAGCATTTATAGTTTGTGTATGTATATGTGTATAGAAGCCCCTTTAATGTGCCTCTCGGTCCCCCCCCCCCAACTTTATGTGACTGAGAGACATAGTTGGGTTTTTTGGTTGTTGTTTTTAATTTTTTTTTTTTTTTTTTTTTTTTTTTTTTTTT